TTAAGTCTCCCAAAAAATTTAAAAGTGTGGTTATGTAGGTACTAAAAAATACTTTTTTTCTACATATAAAAAAAATTAAAAAATTGATCAATATACAGGGAAAAACAAAAAGTGTATTTTTTTTCAATGGATCACCCTATATATGAATTTATTTTTCGATTCCTTGTAAAATTCTGAGCATAATTCATATAACAAACCATATCCTAAATTCAACTGTTTCTGAATTATTCGCATTCGAAATGTTATCATTAAATGTTTTTTTAAACTGTTAGAAATCAAGAAGCCTCAGTATACCAAAATTTTTATTGAAAATAAATTACTCTAATGACACTATGTCAATATGTCTTGTTTAATAAGTAAAAATGGCGTACTCAGAAAAAAAAGACAAACTATTTCAACTTATTATCTTAAAAATAATTTAAATATGTCAGAAACGGTTGAGTTTAGGTATATGGTATGTTATATGAAATATGCTTAGAATTTTACAAGGAATCGAAAAATAAATACATATATAGGGTGATCCATTGAAAAAAAATAAACTTTTTGTTTTTCCCTGTATACTGATCAATTTTCCAATTTTCTTTAAACGTAGAAAAAAAGTATTTTTTAGTTCCTACATAACCATACTTTTAAATTTTTTGGGACACTTAAAATAAAAAAGTTAAAGGGGGGCGACATTATAGGGGATCACCCTGTACACTCAAAAAAATGTACATGCACTGATGTAACTAATTTTGTAAGCGATTAATAAAATAGTATTATTTGACTTAAATTTAAAATTGTAATGGCTAATAATACGATTTGTCAAAGTAATGAGATTATTTTTATTTACAGAATGAAATTTTTTAACTATTAATAAAATTCTCATTTACCATATAAAGCAAAATAAAGTAAAATGTTGAGCTTTTCTAAAAAAAAATGTGGATCCAACAAAGTAATAGTTGTTATCATATTGTCATGGCAATAAGAAATACTTTATGTTTATATTAAATCTTTGTCGAACTTTTTTCAGTTAAAAAATATTTTATTGCTATAAAAGGACTAGCCACCCAGCAATCACAGCCCTCTTGCATATCGAGTTTTACTCTAAATCTGCTGTTCCGTCACAACTTGGCGCTCTTCTTGGTGAATATAACTTTATAATCCACAGTCTGTGTTATAATATTATTGATTGAGTGAAGTGTGGTAAAATCTAACATGATAAAAATATCAAAAATATCACTAAGAAAATTAAAATTTCGACGTTTTCTAAAAGAAATATTTAAGGTCTATTCTATAAACGAAGCAGACTTGTTGTTTAAAAAGCGAGTTCATATTTTTTTTATTTTGTACATCATATAATTTCATGATTTAATTTTTTTAATGCCTTGCAATTATTTAAAAAAAACTACCCAACACCCAACAGTAAGTTGAAAATGTGACCATTGTTACATTGAAAATAGTTTATTGAATAAACAATTAATTTGTTGTTAAATTTACATAAATTTTAATAATACTATAAAAAAAGTTTTATTTTAAACGAAAAGGGATTTGTAAAATTTACAAAATTTTTATGAATTAGGGTTTCATAAGTACTACAAAACGTTTTTGTAAACGGTATAGAACTGTTTTTTTTGGACAAATAATAATAACTATATTTATCAATCCTTTCTGCATCTGGAAGAGTGTTATTTTTATAAACGACATAATTTAACAAAAAAACACAACCATATTTTGTTAAAAAACAATTTTTTATTTTTTATTTTTAATATTTGTGCATACTTAAGATTTTTTTTCAATTTTAATTGCATAAAAGTCCGGTCTTTACTAATAACTCAATCTTAAGTGTCAAATCGGATAAATGATCACCATAGGCAGGGGCGGACCGTTGACTTTGGGGGCCCTGGGCTAAAACTCTTTGGAAGCCTTTCAATGATTAATAATAAAAAAAACAAGAAAAAATAACACTTATTTTTAATAAAATAAATGAATAACATAAATAAAATAAATAATATAAATAAAACATTCCAGCATTTATACTAGGTGTCCCGAGAATAAATAAAATTTATAATCATTTTAGTCCATTAATCCGTTAACTAGTTATATAATTTTAAAATAAAAAAATTTCATGTACCTACCTACTTAATTTAAAAGTAAAATCGCGAGTACCAACCAATAATATTAATGTGTGATATTTTAACAGGCTCATAAGGCTATTAAATTTTATAGAAAAAAAAAATAAAATTTTTAAAGAATTAAAATAAAGTAAAATTGAGATTAGCAACAAATAATATTAATGGGTGATATTTTAACAGGCTCAAAAGGCTATTAAATTTTATAGAAAAAAATAAAAATTTTAGAGAATTTAAATAAAGTTTATTATTTTAAGATAAATTTACCCGTTAAAAATTATTTAAGACTTAAGAAAAATTCATAGAATTGTTACAAAATGTTGACAATCATCATTTTTTTAATGTTTTATTTATGATTTACTGGTTTAACCAGTATAAATACAAATATTTTTGGCAATAAAATTGATGTTTTTCTTGAAATTAATTAGTATTTTAATTAGAATTATTAATTTGTAAAATCAGTAACTGCAGAACTATAAGTTTTAAAATTATAAAATTACACAATTTTTTAAAAAATAAAATAATCTACCAAAGCCCTATAACTTTTTGTTATAAGTCTGATAGTTTTAGCGGAAAAGTGAGAAAAACTTCACCATAAATGTAATTTTAAGCTTGAATAACTTTTTAACAAGAAGATTTATTATAAAATAATAAGAGATCTCTTTGTAGAGCGTTTACTTTAAATAATTTATTAAAATTATATTTTTAAAATATATATTGTTTTCATTTAAGTCCATTAATCCGTTAAATAGATATATAAATCCCAAGTAAATTTTTTAACATGAGAAATACAGGGTGTTATGTAATTAATGTTATATATTAAAATGGGTTGTTCCTTAGGGTCCATAAAGAAGCACCTGAAACTTTTTTTTTCTAAATTCCAAAGTCTAAAAATAATTTATAACCTATCCTACCAAAAAGTACGCCACTGATCGACTAGGAACTTTAGGTTAATCTGGTGGATTTATTATGTTATGGTTGGTAACAACTGTTTCCAAAATCTTTCAAAAAAGTTGCCAAGCATTGTTTAAATTTAGCTTAATTACAAAAATGACAAAATTAACAATGCAAATTGTCAATTTGGCGTTTTTATTAATTGTTGGTTATTTCATTTTTGTACTGAACGTAAATTCAAACAAAATCTGCCAAAGGTGAGTTCGGGATTGCTACACCGTTCACACCGTGCGCCCTTAACAGTTCGGATATGCAATAAGTGAAAAAAGTGTTATTGTGGTTGGGTTCGGGTATTTTAGTATGACAGAATCTAGTTCATTTCTTTTAAATTTTAGGTTGTTTTCAAATTGTGAATATCTTAACTAAGGGAAGTGCTTTTGGATTTATTTACACAAATTAAATGTTTAAAGTTTAACCTGTGAACTGGTCCCAATTTCATCTGAGTAAACAGAGAAAAAAACTGATGAAAAAATTAATTTTGTGGTTATGGATTTCAAATTTCAAAGGTACTAAATTTTCTAATTATTGTTTAAGCTAATAGCTGGATCAGTAAATAAATACAGAAGGGTATTAGAGCATTAAGGGCATAAAACTTTTGAATTTATTGAGTTTTTATTTATTTTTTGCAAGAAAAATTTTTAGTAACAATTTTTTACATCTGGCAACGCATAGCTACTTTGTTGGTTGGTATCTATTTACTCACAAAATACAGGTGTGCAGAGTTAAAAAAGTGTGTAACCAGTGGCGTATCACAAAAAATATAAAAAACTTCTAATGCATATTTTTTCTTTATCTTTGGAAAAATGTTTTTTTAAATATTTTTCCTTTATTCCTTATGTCAAAAGGTATTCAGTATTTTAATATATAACATTAATTACATAACACCCTGTAGATAATCGCGATGAGGGGCCTCTTAATAATATTATTAAGAGCTGAAATTTTAACAGGCTCAATATTTACATTACATAGTTGATTTTTTAATCAGTCTGTTTATATATAAAAAAAATATTTGCATCGCCTAGGGGGCCCTCGATCGGACGGGGCCCTGGGCTGCAGCCCATAATGCCCATGCCTAAATCCGCCTATGACCATAGGCGTGCGAAACAGAGGCTACTTGGGGAAAAAATTCTTATAATTTTTTTTGTGGGATTTTGTTGAATTTTTTATCCTGGAATACAATTCTCTTTTACGTAAAAAAGTCAAATGTCAAATAAATATTAATATTTCTGAGATTTTTACTTAAAAAAATTATGCAATTAATCTATTAATCTATTTACATTTTAAAATTCAAAGGACGAAAAATTTTCAAAAAATTCGTAATTTTAATGAAAATGATTATTGTGCCCACCCCCATAATGGGAACCTTTACTACGCCCCTGGTTGCTAGCCTTGACACAGAGCCTGAAGGGCAACATAATTAAAAAAAGATCTGGAGAGTTATTTTTAATTTATCAAACTATTTGTATTCGTTGGATTATTTTTTGATTAACAGAAATGCTTCTTCAACAATAAAGACAAATGTCAAAAAATATAATACAAGTTATTCTTCTGGCAATAATGTAAGTTAAGTAGATTTATCCTACTATAATATTGTCTAGTTTCTATTGGTTTTTAGAAACATCAAAAAATGTAATTTTAAAATTATTCAAATTGTTTACGGAACACTGTCCACACTAAATATGCTTTTGGTTCTAGGAAAAATAATAATTTTTCTATTGGTTTTTAGAAATCATCAAAAAATGTAATTTTAAAATTATTCAAATTGTTTACGGAACACTGTCCACACTAAATATGCTTTTGGTTCTAGGAAAAATAATATTTTTTTAGTAAATTCAATGTACACATTTAGTGATAAAAAATATGATTAATAATAATAATCTCAATCAAATTTGCAATATTTTTTATAGATAAAAAAATTATTGCCTACATACTTACCAAACACTCTATATATTAGGCACTTTTTTTCTTCCACGGGGTAGGACAGATCACTCTTATATACTTTTTCCTCCATTTTTACCAACCGAAAAAAAATCAAATAATATCACTATTTTTAAACTTGGCTAACTAGTTTTTTCTTTCTTCTTTTCAAATCATTTTTCCTGATAACCCAAAAAATAATCCGATGATTTTTTTTCGTCAAATTTTAGCTGAAAAAAAAAACGATAAAAAAAACAAATTAAAATCGTTTTCAGCGGCAGCCGGTAGCGGAACAACTGAGCATCGACACATGGTATTCAAAATAAATACAAAGATTGTGCAACGTTGTCACATTTTTAAAAGACGCACCACTATATGGGAGGGGGAATTTTAAGTGTGAAAAAAATCCGATACGGTGTTTTCGAGTTAAAGGTTTTTAAAATTTTATTTTTGATATTTTAATATTTACACTCACAGGCAAAATAATCGATCCACACAAATTTTCGATGAATTTCAATCGCAATAACTTTTTTATTTGATTTCGGATTTAAACAAATAATAAAGAATATTGTAGATACATTAATGGAGAATTGCTCACATTTTAAAAATTACTAAAAAATACACGTACGTTTATAATATACAGGTTTAAACAAAAATATGTTTTTTGCCATACGTTTAAGACCGTATATTGTTCTAAATTAAGTTTTAATTATCAAGTCACATCTATTTTTAACAGTTTTGTTTTTGGTTCACCTTGATATATTTATTTTTGTGGAAAATATGGATTTTTTTAAAAAAACATTGCAATTTCCAATATTTTCCTGTATGAAGAACTAAGGTTGCTATGGTCCATCCATAGCCTATGGAGGATGACAATGACAGTTTTGTTGAATCATCCCATACTTGGACATGTCATATACAGAGCTCTTTTAAAAGGTATCAAATTGTTTTTTGTAAATTAATGTGTTAATTTTGAGGTGACTTCTTACTTTTAAAAATGTCTCCACTGATGTTGTCCTTTATACTTTACTTCTTGTGACGTTTAAAACACTTGCCACGTAATACTGTGACGGTCCATCCTGGATTAAATTAATGGCTCTGGCAACATTAGTCGGAGACATATCCATTTTTTAAAGTAAGAAGACACCTCAAAATTTAAACATTAATTTGCAAAAAACAATTTGATAGCTTTTGAAAGCCGTGTATGACATGTCCAAGTTTATGGATGATTTAACAAAACTGTCACTGTCATCCTCCATAGGCTATGAATGGACCATAGCAACCTTAGTTCTTCATACAGAAAAATATTTGAAATTGCAATGTTTTTTTTTTAAAAATCCATATTTTCCATAAAAATAAATATATCTGGGTGAACCAAAAACAAAACTGTTAAGAATAGATGTGACTTGATAAATGAAACTTAATTTAGAACAATATACGGTTTTGCCACTCTACAGAGTGTCTTAAACTTATGGTAAAAAACATCTTTTTGTTTAAACCTGTATATTATAAACGTACGTCTATTTTTTACTAATTTTATAAAATGTGAGCGATTGTCCATTAATTTATCTACAATATTCTTTAATAGGGGAGGTATGTCTGAGATGGCATACTTTTTTTTTTAATAGTTGTATTTTGGAAATTTATAGTGGTAAAAAAAATGTAAAGATAGAATTGGATAGGGCCAGGTTCATACTAATAACAATGTAGCAAACTATTGTAAAATAGGCATTTATTTAAAAACTACTAATTAAAAATATAAACATGCTTGCTATGCTATCTCATCCTCACGGTCTGATGAGATGGCATACTGGTATAAAACTAAGCACAAAGCTCACAAATAAATGTTTTTGACTTTTTAATAAGTCCAGCACACTCTGCATGAGCCCACTTATTGCAGAATTGACACTTAAACCATACCTCCTTAGATCTTGACCATTGGTAAAGCTCATTGCAGTATAGGCATGCAATATCTTCATCTTCTTCTATATCTTCAATGTTTTCTATATCAGGGCTGTCATTTTCATCTCGGTAAACTTTTTTTTATTGATCTAGAAGATTGCCGCACAGGTTGAACAGCTTTCGTGTTTTTGCAGACTTTGCAGCCTTCTGTAAAGCTGCTGCTTCTTTTTCGGCAACTGCTGCCTTAGCAGACTCTAGTTCAGGCGTGCTATTTAAAAAACCAAATGAACCTTTTCTCCTTTTTGGTCTTGGATTACTTTGAGATGAGGAAGGCAAGGGAAAGATTTCTGCAACTGATTTATTACAATTATCAGTTGAAGACGAAGAGCAGGTTTGAGAAGTTGAGGGCAAAGGAGGTTGGATTATGTTTTCGGAGGCTGTAACTGGTTCTTCTGTAACTTCTGCTGGATTACAGTTGACTATTGGGGAAGAAGAGTAGGCTTGAGAAGTTGAAGATAAAGCAGGTTGGATTGTGTTTTCGGAGGCTGTAGCTGGTTGTTCTGTAACTTCCGCCGGGTCAAACATCCATTCCGGAAATATATTTGGGTTAAACGGAAAAATTCCAGTTGCAGAAAATCCACTCTGTGCATTTTTTAGAGTAGCTGCTTTAACGTAGGAATTATTAAACAGCTGAGCAACTTGGTAATGGGTTATTACTCTTCCAGGATGGTTTCTTAGCCATAATGACAACTCTTGGTTATAGTAGGTAGTTAATGGGCTGTAAAAACTAACGTCCAGTGGCTGAACTCTATGGGTACAATGGGGAGGAAGGCAGAAAATAATGACGTTATTTAGCTTTGAATACGTTAAAACCTCCAAATTCTTATGACTAGAGTGACCATCTAACAGCAGCATTACTTTCTTTTCTGGGGAAGGCTTAACACGCTTAACAAAATGTTTCATCCATTTTAAAAACAGTTCTCCATTCATCCAGCCTGTTTCTGAACAAAACGCCACTGAGCTAAGGGGTGCCCCATCCATGAGTTCATTTTTCATATTTTTTCGGGGAAAAATTATTGCCGGGGGAACAAAGTTGCCTTCTGCATTCATGCAACAAACAACAGTAAAATGTTGTCCTCTTTCTGCGCTAGATAAAATTCCAACTTGTTTTCTGCCACGTGTTGCAAAGATTTTTACATTTTGACTGGCAACAGTAGTCAATCCAGCTTCATCAACGTTATATATATATATCGCTAGGCTGAATTTTATATTCTTGTAAAACTGTATCTATAGATAAGGATATAAGGATTTAAAGTATTTCTCAATTTGCGGCTTGTTGAACGCAGAAGCTCTAGCGGCAGATGTTGATTCTGGTGTTCGCAAACTAAGAGATGGGTTTCTTTGGCGAAAAGCATTGAGCCAGTCCCATCCAGCCATTTTCTTAACTTTTGAAAATTTATGTTTTATTCTCTTGGATTCAGCGATCTGATATGCTAGTTTTCTAACATCATTTGTAGATAGACCAAAAAATCGAGTTTCCAAATGTTTAATATGAAGTACAATTTCTTCTTCCAACTCCTTACTAAACGTTGTCTTATATCCTCCCAAATAGCCTTTGCTCCAGTCATTTTTAGCTGCTCGTCTCCGAAGTGTACCAAATGGTACACCAAAAGTCTTTGATGCTAATAACCATCCCATTTCACCATTATTAACAGCGTTTATAGCATTTTTCATATTACTTTCATCCCAGCTATGCCTTTGAGATTTTCTTGTATAGCGGCCCATGCTAAAAAACAATAAATAAATAATTAAATATTAGTAATTAATTGTTTCGACTTTTACTTGATGAAACTCCATGTTAATATTGTTTTATTTTAATATAAACTACACTGTTTAAAAGTTTCACTATTTTATTTAAATATGACAATTGTTTCGCTACACTGTAGCATCTTCAGATCGTATACAAACTAATATTTATTTTACTTTTATATAAATGATGGTTTTACAGGTAATATTTTTAGTACAATATTGGGGAAGATTAAATTAACGTTATACAATAAAGCGAAACAATTGTCATATTTAAATAAAATAGTGAAACTTTTAAACAGTGTAGTTTATATTAAAATAAAACAATATTAAATATTAGTAGTTCTTTCTACTTTCAAATTCTGGGTGAGATGGCATAGTGTGCCATCTTAAACTGAGTATGGTATGCCATCTCAACCAAAATGCATTAAAAATATATTTTCACAAAAATAAGGTTAGGTTAATATACAATTATGGAAATGTTTGGAAAAATCTATCTAAAAATGCTATATTTCAAGCCTAAATTAATAAAACTTACCTTTAATAAAGTGATTTTAAAGTAGCACGTAGTTACAATCTTGGCGCGAAAATATTTTAACACACAAAAATTTGTCACCACGTTTTTTTGTTTAGTAATGTCCGATCTAAGTAAATGAAACACATATGGGATCATAAGCGTTCGATCTTCTTCGACTCTAACCGGTTTGTGCGCCGAAACTAGCTGACTAAAAGCGCGAAACACGTGATATGCCATCTCATCGAATATGCCATCTCATACATACCTCCCCTATTCGTTTAAATCCGACATCAAATAAAAAAGTTATTTGCGATTGAAATTCATCGAAAATTTGTGTGGATCGAGTGTATATAAAACGATAAAAAAACAAAGTATTAAAGACGTTAAAAGAGCTAAAATTTGCTAATAATAACGTTATGATGATTTTAAAATATATATTAACTAGCTGCAAATGTCCTGTTTATTTTGTTTTCATGGCAACCGCTTTTAGAGTGTAATATTTTCGCTTGCTTGTTAAATTTTCTGCAAATTCCAATAGAAAAAATAACAAATTCAGGCATTTTATTTGTTTCCTATAATTTAGGTTTTATGTGAAATCTGTCAACGTTGCATATCATGACATTCTACAATTATTTTGTATTATACATTTCCCGGGTTGCAGATAAGGTATATTGATAAATATAACACGCATTTTTGATATTTTTTTACGTAATAAGGTCAAATTAAATAAAATCTAAAATAAATTTACATAATTTTATGGCAAAATGTTGAAATTCAAAAAAAAAAAATAAAAAAAAAGAATTTAGAGTTTATAAATAAACTGAATCAGAATGAAAGAAAACGTGACGTTTATTTGAAAAAGTTTTTGTTATAAGGTTTTTAGTAATAAGTTATTATTAATAAAATTACAATAAGTTATGCTGATTAAAAGTTTTGTTTTTTTAAACAAATTGTTATGAAAATACATTTTTTAATAGGATGTGAAATATTTTAGCTTATCATGCAGACACGGCGTTTTTTTAAATTTATTTAACATACAAAAAATAAATTTTTATCACAATGTGACAAAATTATTTTTTGCTCCTTCCTTGAAAGTAGCAACTTGTAGACATGTTCTATTAGCAATTGGATATCAATATTGTGTAGTACATAAAATGTACAGCAAAACCAATTTATTAACCCGAAAATAAATAATAAAAAACATTAAGAACATATTATTGTGTAAGTTAATAAAAGTCAATGGAATATTACAATTGGTCTTAATAGCAATGACAGTAACTAAGTTAAATTAGTTTGATCAAATTTTTAATTAATTATTTGGGGGCATTATAATTAACAATTTTACTCACTTAAATTAATGGTAAATATGACTAAAACATAATAATTACTATTTTTTGGCTATCAGTGCAGTGGGTGGGCCATCACATACAATACTAGATAAAACTATGTGTGTAGATCCCACATTCTGCAATTTTATTGATTACTTATAATATATAAGTTATAAATCTAGATGCCTTTGCTTTTCTAATCCAAATCAACTGTCAAAATATTTTATTTGACAACTAAAAATTTAAAAAAGATGTTAGGTATTAGGCACTTAAAAGGATATTTGATTTGTAGGTAGTTAATTAAGTAATATTTAATGTAATATTTGACCTTTCGCAATGATTTGCAAATCAAGCAAACATTGTATCGTACCTATATCGGAAAAAAATAATAATAATGCTGATAAAAATTTGAAAAAAATAAAAACAACATCCGTAGTTGAAAAACAAGTAAACAATAACACACCTAGAACATGAAAAACTTGTTTTCAATAAATTTATAAACAAATGCTTTTTTAACGAAAAAAACCTAACCTAGCATTCCAAATAATAGCAAAAACAAAAGCTCACCAGAGAATGTTGACGAAAAAAACACACTAATTTCACACGACCACCCAATAAACAAGCCATTTCTATAATTTCATTCGAAGAAATTAAATTTTAACCACTATTACAATTCTCCTAGATTTATTGATTTTTTTGGTTAGAATTGTTTCAGGAATGTTGGTACTGCCAATTCCTACACTAACTCTAAAGAAAAAATGTGTTTTATAGTGTTCTTCGACATTGATTCATAGATGGCGCCGTTTACAAACGTCAAAGAGGTTATGTTGTTATTTGTTGTTAAAAATGTTTGATTTTTACACGGAAACTTGCTGTATTTGCCTTGAAAATAACACAAATTTGATAAATATAATCCATAGCGACGAAAACGGCGAAAATTACTTTGATAAGTTGGAGTTATTAGTGCCTGATTTAGTAAGTTTAATTATTTTTATAAAAATAGCGATAATAATAAGTTTGCTTTTCAGGGTTGGTCTGTAAGGTTTAATTTGTGTATTAAATGCTGCGAAGGGTTAAATGAAGCACATACATTCGTGAAGAAGTGTGTGAAGAGTGAAAATACAAGAAAAGATAATATTCCTTTAAGTGAGAGTTTAGGAGTGAAAATTATCAAATTTGACGAAAATTTGAAGGAGGAAGTTAAGGAAGAGGATGTGGAGGAGTTTAAATGTGAGGAATGTGATAAGATTTTTAAGTCTGTCAAAGCTGTAAAGTCGCATATCACAAAAATACATAAAAAACCTAAAAGTGAAGAAAATGTTGAAAATATAGTGGAAAATAAGGAGGAAATAAATGATTTTGAGGATGCAGCAGATAACTTTAGTGATAATACTGATTTTGAGGATTATAACCCCCCAAAAGTAAAGGTTAAAAAGGAACGTAAAGTTCGAACAAAAATTAAATTGCCTGTAAAATGTGAGTACTGTGGTAAGGATTTTAATAGAAAGCAACATTTGCTGGCGCATATACGTTGTTTGCATACTTTTGAAAAACCTTATGCTTGCGATATTTGCGATGCCAAGTTCTCGTTATCCCACAGTTTGTTGGTACACAAACGCAGGCATAATGACGATCGCAGGTACGTTTGCACATATTGTGGCAAGAAATTTTTGTGTAGTACAGACTTGGTGCACCACAACAAGATTCATTTGAACAAACGAGAGTATAAATGTGTGCCATGCAATAAGAGTTTCAATACTATTTCGGTGCTGCAGATACATAAAAAATGCGTACATACTCCAAGTGAGCTGTGGAAACATGTGTGTTCGTACTGCGAGAGGAGATTTCCCATTAAAAGCAGCCTGACGGCCCATCTACGTCGACACACAGGCGAAAAAAACTTCTCTTGCAATATTTGCGGCAAGTCTTTTTACGACAAAAAAATGGTGGAAAACCACTACAGAAGTCATACCGATGAAAGGTTATTTAAGTGCCACCTGTGCGAAAAAGATTACAAAGATCGTGGTGGTTTGAACCTACACTTAAAAAAAATCCACAATATCGGCAACGCCACTATCCCACCCCCTCCTCCGAAAAAATTTGGCTGTCATTTATGCCCGAAAGCGTTTTCCTCTAGAGGAAAACTCCAAAAACACATTTGCACTCACACTGGGCAAAAAATGTTCAATTGCCACCTGTGCGACAAAAAATTCAACGATTCCTGGTATAAAAAGGTTCACCTGCAAAAAAAACACAACTTGACTCTCACAAACGAAGATTTGAAAAATCTGAGTCAGGTTCATCAGGAAGTTCCGCCGCTTGTTGTGATACAGACCCCGGTCGTCGGTGTGCCGCAAGGTTCCGTTCACAGCCCCCTGGACGTGCAACATGTTGTTATGCAACCGGTGATGCAAGTACCACCCGGTCATACATCAGCTTTTTAAGTTTTTATTACGGTTTTATTGTGTATATGATTGTATATATTTTTATAACTATCTAATAATAAATCATATTTTATTGAATACATTTTTTATTCCTATTGTAAATAAAATAATTTCAAGTTTTTATTTAGGAATTTAACAGATTCCTGTAATCAATGAGAGTTTACACAGATATCACATAGATGGCGGCAGCAGTCCTCAAATTGCATTTTTCAAATGTTTTCTTAAATTTATTTGGTTTAGTTTTTTAAATCCCTAACATAAATTTCTTTATTTTATTCATTAATAAAATCCTGCAAAATCTTACAAAAACACCAACTACCTACTTACTAAAAAGTTATAAATATTTTTGCAATTATTTCCATTATAATACACTCCCTGTACTTTAAATTATACCTTCATAAAAGCATAATAAGAGTTATTTTCTAAGTATAATTATTTAATGCATACTTTGAGTTACCCATGGTAATAAAAAATGGAGTACCTAACCTAAATCGCATAAAAATTGCGAAATATCGTTTAAAATGAAAACCAATTTAAGTAGAGTGTAATTTTCTTTAATTATAAAAAAGGACTTACCTACATTTTGTTGCCAATAATATAATAATTATTGTGGATTTTTGTATATTTTGACGTTAAAACAATAACAAAAATTAACATACTCATAATCGCGTGATCTTTGACATCAGTGCGCATGCCCGCCGGGCGATTCGTTTTTGTCATTTTGTCAGCCATATTTAAAATTGTAAAACAATTAGATCGACAAGTTGACGTATTTATGGCGTCGTTTTTACAAAAATGAGAATTATCTTTTAGTATTTTGTGTGTTGGTGTGCCATTTTTGTGCGCGGGTGACTGTGTGTTTGTCTGGATGTGAAATGACGGCGATAAGGCGACAGAAAAGGCGCTTATGAAGGTAAAAATTGTAATTTTGCGAGTATGAATCGTTTTTAATGTTTTTTGTTTGATTTGCAGGTAGGTTCAGGACAGACTTCCTGCAACAATTTGTAAGTACATTTTCTTATAACGTAACCTACTTTTTAACACGTTTTTTGATGTTTTTGACACTATATATATAGTTGACTTAATTTCATATTCTAGTGCCACTAGACTACCTAGTGGGATTTTACTAGGTTTCAAAAGTTTAAACAAAACGTAAAAAAACTGCAAACTGTGGCAGAAAATATATAGTACTTTAAGCAAATCTACTTGTCCTTTGGTTTTGAGTACATATGTATATTTTGTATCGTATCAAGTTTTATAAACGTCATTTTAGTTACTAGTTAGACACGAGCGAATCTTGCGAGCGAGTGTTTAATAAAAACGAGTGTCTAGAGAAGTTACTTTATCTATGACGACACAAAGAATTTAAAGCTAATTTTAATTTATAAATATTTGACATCTGACGAATTTAACCTAACTTTTTCGCAATTTATAATAAATTTAACTTCAGCCGGTGACTAAAATGGCCAAAAGCCGATGTTTATAACTTCAACCCGTGACTAAAGCGCCATAAAATCACTATTGTCAATGTGGGAGTATACCTATAGGTAATAGTATATAATGTATCAAGTTTTATAAACGCCATTTTAGTTTTACTAGGCACGAGCGAAGCTTGCAAGCGAGTGTTTAATAAAAACGCGTGTCTAGAGAAGTTGCATATGTATACAAGTTTGGTATACCAAACTTTATCCACGAAGAACACAAAGAAGAATTTGAAGCTAATTTTATTTGTCAAACTTTTGACATCTGTCAAATTTTAACGGATTTAACCTCACTTTTCCCTAATTTATAATAAAGCCAACTTCAGCCCGTGACTAAAATACCCAAAAGCCACTTTTGCTAACTTCAGCCTCGGAGTAGATAAAATTAATTATATTCCAAAGTAATTTTTTGAATACTTTATGGCTTTTTAGTCACGGGCTGAATTTGGCAGTATTGGCTTTCGGGCTTTTTAGTCACGGGCTATAAGTTAGTTGACAGTTGTCAAATGTCAAACAATCGTCAAAATAAAGTGCCTTCTTGTGAAATAATAGAAAATGTGAAAATTATTTTATTAAAAAAAGCATTTCATTAAATAATGTCTTATGATTCTCTCCCATCATTTTGCTTTATTTTTTAAGGGAGTTTAATAATTATTTAAATTTTGAACTCGTTTTAATATGAAGTCTTTATAGACTTATGAGTGTTATAATTTGAAAATTATTGTCTTTCATTAAACGCTTCGCTCGTGCCTAATTAAAATACTATTTAATTAAATCATATTTTTAATAATTAATTCTCAATTGGATTTTACATTCTTATCTACTCCTACATTGACGAGCTGTGACTTTATGACGTTTTAGTCACGGGCTGAAGTTAGTAATAGTGGCTTTTGGGCATTTAAGTCACGGGCTGAAGTTAGCTTTACTATAAATTAGAGAAAAGTAAGGTTAATTCCGTTGACATTTGACAGATGTCAAATGTTTAACAAATAAAATTGGATTTAATTTCTTCTTTGTGGTCGTCGTAGATAAAGTATAAGTAGTATGCAACTCGTTTTATAAACTTATCTAGACACTCGTTTTTATTAAACACTCGCTTGCAAGCTTCGCTCGTGCTTAATAAAACTCGTAACTAAAATGGCGTTTATAAAACTTGATACATAATGTACTATAAAGTGTGTTATGATATTCAGGCATTTTTTAAAACATTTTGAAATTCTAGTTTTTTAAATTTGTATTGACAATGTTGACATTCTTAAATATTTTTTTAATATTCTACATTTTGACATTCTTAAATTTGATTTTAAGAACTTGTGGTTTGACATTCTAAAATCTTAAAAGAAATTCGAAAAAAATAGACATAAAATTACGTCGTCGCGTCACAAAAAATTAAATCAATCAACCTATTAGCAAAAACAAAAAAAAAACAAATTTCAGTAAGTAGTTTAAACGTCATTATACTGTTATTAATACCACGACAAATCACCGAAAATTGTTTAATTATATCCTTGCGGTAACTTTTACCACCATAATAGTTCAATTAAGTAGTTACTTTTTGGCCAGTATACCCTCGAGATATCGCAATACAAATTTTCGAAAACTTTGCTTTATAATTTTTTAATGTGCAAATTTAAGATTCTTAAATTTAGGTCCAATTTAACTTTATATTTTATTTTAAATCGCTTCCAAAAGGTCTCTAACGGTTGGCCATAAATAATATTTGACATGTTATTTTTAAGGGGACCGTTCGAAACCGTCTTTGAAGCACCGAAACTTAATATTTTCAGTGTTTTAAAAAAACATCATAAACCAAAGCGTTTTTACTGTGCACTTTATGTACAGGGTGATCCCCTATAATGTCGCCCCCTTTAACTTTTTTATTTTAAGTGTCCCAAAAAATTTATTTATGAATTTATTTTTCGATTCCTTGTAAAATTCTGAGCATAATTCATATAGCAAACCATATACCTAAATTCAACCGTTTTTGAAATATTCGCATTCGAAATGTTATTATTAAATGTTTTTTTAAACTGTTAGAAATCAAGAAGCCTCAGTATACCAAAATTGTTATTGAAAATAAATTACTATAGTTACATTATGTCAATATGTCTTGTTAAATAAGGAAAAATGGCGTACTCAGACAGAGAAAGACAAACTATTTTAACTTATTATCTTAAAAATAATTTAAATATTTCAGAAACGGTTGAATTTAGTTATATGCTATGTTATATGAAATATGCTTAGAATTTTACAAGGAATCGAAAAATAAATACATATATAGGGTGATCCATTGAAAAAAAAATAAACTTTTTGTTTTTCCGTGTATACTGATTAATTTTTCAATTTCCTTATACGTAGAAAAAAAGTATTTTTTAGTACCTACATAACTTATATATATACTATACTACTAAATTTTTTGGGACACTTAAAATAAAAAAGTTAAAGGGGGCGAATTAAAGGGGATAACCCTGTACAGGGTAACAAGAATATTTATACAGGGCGTATACTATACATATGGGTATTTTTAGTAAATTTTACGTGCATGTAAACAGGGCCGTCTCTACCCAGGGGCCACTCTGGTTAAGGCGGCAAATTTCGAAATAATGTTGAGGAGAAATATTACTACATGTATTAATGGCTTTAATGGTTTATCTATTTTTTTATTTTAGATTTAGAGAAATAACTGTTTAACGCTATTTGTAAATCTTAAATAGTTATTTGTTTTACAAGTGTTGAAAAACGAGTGTTTAAGTTGCTCACGAGGCCGTTAGGCTTAAAGAAAGTTTTTCTCACAAGTGAAATACAATGTTTTTTTTACGACCCTTTTATTTTTTGTTATTTTCAAATACAATACAAAATAACCTAAACACGTGTTTGACAGCTGTTAAAATTACGATGCTGTCAATTTCTTTTCACACAGACCTGTCACTTTTCACACAGAAATGTCACTTTACATTCAAGTTTTTCCTTTTTTTACAAAATGTGACTTTTACATAGAGGTCGTAGAAAAAAAAGGTTTTTAATTTTCTTCCTATAGAAACTAATGTTTAGTAACTATAGGAAAAACTGTTTCAGGTCTTCAATTGGCGTGTAACAGGATTTTAAGGTCATTCTGTTTTTGTGATTTTAAGGAGGATCGGACAATGCATAAATAGCGATAGGTGCCAACTTGCAAAAACAAAATTTATTTTGTCATTCTATTACATTTAATTTAAAAAACAGACCATTTTCTAACTGATTTTATAATTATTTATTTATTTTAATACAAAAGGCACTATATACATACATGTAATATATTATATTGTAACACAAGAACCTTAATTGACCATATGCAAGGAATGCGGTCGATGTTGCCAATGGTAAAAAAATAAAGTTCCCTATTGGGAACATTCAATTATATTACGTTGGATACACTGAAATTTTGAATTTCCCGCACAAACTGACATACATTCTAGGAGTTCCCAGAGATAAAGAAGGTAGTTCCAATGTTGTATAATAAATTAAGGTGCGAATTTCAAATGTGGGAATTATTATTATTTATTATTATTAAAAAAAAAGATGGAAATTAATTTAG